CGACGGGAGCGCCGCCCGTCTGTCGCAAACAGTGCGAGAGCTCGAGAAGGCCGTCTTTGTCGCAGTCGTTGACGTCTTTGCGCAGACAATAGCACGAGTTCTGCGGGAAGTGTTTGGCGGCGCCGAAGAACTCTTGGGGCGCCACGAAACGGAGCGTCGGAATGCCCTTCACTTCGGACTCGCGCTGAAAGGCGAGAAAAAGGGAACGACAGACGGAAGGGTCGAAGGCGTAGAGTCTGTCGTTCGGCGAGACGTCGGGTCCGAAGAACGTGCCGTCCGTTCCGCGGAACTGGAGACACGAGTGTTGGCTGTCGTCGTGAAAGGGCCAAATGGGCGTCTGCTTGGTGTCCGTATTGCGTAACTCCCGCGAGTCCCCCCATTTGTAGATCTGTCCCAATTTGTCTTCTCTTCCGACTCCCGTATAGACTGTGAGGCGATCGCCGAGAAAGTCGCGGCCCTAAACACGTCACGTGATCGTCAGTCAGTGCGAAACAACTGTCACTGTGTTCTCACTCCTGTGATGGAGAAGCGCTTGATCTCGATGCCGGTGCCCGCGGGCATGAGTGGCGCGAGCAGGTCCACGAGTTTCAGGTCCACGCCGTCCAGAAGCAGATCCCCGGCCTTTCGGGTCGTGAAGAGCGACTTCTCGTTTACGTCCAACTGATCGGCGAACATATCGAAGGCCATCGACGCGTCGGGCATCACCTGATTGAAGAGAATGGCCTGCAGTGGAGGACAGGCGGGCAGTGGATGCCCTTCACGGTGCAGGCAGACGACAGACCATTACGGGCGCGTTGACGAACGTGACGTCTTCTTCGAGCGTCGCTTTCGAGAGATCCGATCGAAAGACATATCGTTTGCGTTCGCGATAAGAGACGAGAGAATCGTTGCGTTCGTTGCGATGGAAACGGATTTCCTCTTTGGACCGCCACTCCTCGAACACCCAGGGCCCCCGCGCCTCCAGTTCCACGTCCGCCAGCGAGGTGTAGGTGTCGGCGTTCTTCGGGGAGAAGATATGGAACTTCATGAGCGCCGGCAGAGGAATGGTCTGCCAATTCTTGAAAGCGTCGGAATTGTTGACGATTTGCGAACTCTTTGGAGAGAAAAGTGAGACAAGAGTTGAGGAGAAGTGAAGAGAATTACTTCGAGAATCTTCTTCTTGAGGACAATGGGGAAGACGGCGAGAACGACGGCGCCCACGACCGCCAACACGAGTCCCACGACTCCGAGAGCGCCGAACGCGATGTGTTTGGACTGCATTTCTGTCGTCTTTCCTCTCAATTAACAGTTTTCTCTAACTTTTTGTATCGATTTCTGAACTGAAGTTCAATTTTGTTTCTATTATTCGTTTCTAACCTTCAATTGAAAGCAATAAACGAGAGTTTTATGAGTTTTTTGATGAAAAGACGACTTTTCGTATTGAAAAGCAATAAAACAAATGATTATTGGTTTGCATTCAATGACTATTTGTGTTAATAATTAGAGAATTAATGGACTTTTTATTTCTTATTTAAAGTCAAATGTTTTTCAAAACAAAACATTAAATATTCTGTAATTTATTCCAAGAATTTCTACCAAATATAGGACTGAATTCCAAAACCGGGAATTCTGTGAGAAATCCATTTCCCCTCGAATTCCACGTTCAGTACGCGTTCGGCGGAATCGGCATTCAGTGCCACCAAAACGGTCTGATTGTCGGGTCTTTGAACCGTCAAAACGGACACCAAATCGTCTTCGGCGCTCACTTCGCGGCCAATTCGCACGGATTCCGGAGAAATGAATTTCGAAAAGTGGGCCAAAGTGTAGAACGAGGGGTTCTTCAGCGCCTCCCCCCTCTCGGCGTCCACATTAACGGCTCCCCCGTATCCCTGCTTCTCCGGCCAACGCGGACCTCCGTTCATATCGAGCGCTAAATTCAAATCAATTCTCATATCTATTGTCAAGAAAACGTGAATTCGAACCCAAATTCCATTCAATCCAAGCGCTCACCCAATGGTTGAGATCCTAAGAGAGAGACACAGTGTTAGCGCCGTCAGATGCAGACGAACCCGAATGACGTCAAAGGCGTAGCGAAGGCCGTACTGCCAATCGCCGACTCCCAAGCCCTTCAGATGACACGCCTCCGAGTTGATGACCAGCCAATCGGGATAGAGGGCGTGAAGGGAGTCGAGGGCGGAGTCGGGGAAGCCGTGCTTCATGACGTCATTGGCGTACCAGTGGAAGGCCACGCCCCCCACGAACTCCGCGGCCGCGGCGCGCGCCGCCTCCGCGTACTCCTTGACCTCCTTTCCCGCGTCGTCGTACACGAGAAGCACGAGATCGCTGTATCCGGCCGTCCGGAGCGCGGGTCCGAGATTGCGGGCCACGAACGCGGCCTCGGATTCGGCGCTGAGATTGAGGCAGTTGAAGGGGTGGTGTTTATTAAGCATTCCCTGCACCGGCTCGTTCTCTACCGTCAGTCCCCAGAAGGAGATGTCGTGTTCGCGACGATAGGCGTCCAGAAAGCGCACGAAATACTGCGCCCACGCCTCGTAATAGGCGCCGCCCACTGCGCCAATCAGAGCGCCCGACTCGTTGACCTTGTGGTTGTCCTTCATCCAGGCGGGCGGCGCCCACGGACTCGCGAACAGCCGCAGAGGGAGGGGCGACATCTGTTGGGCGCGACGGATGAACGGAATCTGCGGCACAGAGAGGAGTGACGTCACACTTGCGGACAAAGCGGTCATACCTTCCACTCGAGGTCTTCCTTCTGAAGGGCAAAGTGTTTGAGTTGAAGGTCGCCGTCGACGTCATCGTAACTGTAAGGACGCGGCGAGTAATCCGTTCCCGCCATCGGAACCCTGCAAAAGGAATACCCGATTCCGTCGGCGCCGAAGTACGACTGCAGCACCGCTTCGGCCAAAGAGGCCGGAACTGAAGACAGCATTTGGCCGGCGGTGTCGGTGAAGGCGCCGCCGAATCCCAGCACTCGTTGGAAGCGTTGCTCCGTTTTGACGCGTATTTCCACACTTTGGGAGCCGTTCGGCGGTCTTTCGGACGCGAAGTCGAGCCGCGATTCGACGAAACGGTCGCCGCCTTTGTTGCTCTCGAAGACTGTGGCGACGCCTTTGGTGGGCGTCGGGAGCGCCGGCATGTCGTCACAATAGGTGGCGTTACAGACGCAGACGGTGTCGGCGCCGGCAATGACGCGTTTGTCGCAGAGACGTCTGGCGGACACTGAAAGAGCGGAAAAGTGAGCGGAAATCGGAAATAAAGCGCGAAAACGACAGACCGTTGGCCGCGAAGAGCGCGACAATCGTCGCAACGATTAATGCATTCATTTTTGNCCGAAGGCGGAGTCTAACTCTTCTTCTCCTAAAATAACACTTTCTTTCGCATAAAAACACTTTTCTTGCGTTTGTTTTGCTTTTGCTTTCGAAACGACTGCAAAAAGTCGGAAGAAATGCGAGAAAAGAGTGAAAAAAAGACTTTTTATTGGTTTTGATTCATGTTTTTGAAGACCAAATAGACGGCGATTACGAGCGCGAGAACGCCGACGACGATTAGGCCGACGGAAACTGCGGTCACCGCGCGCTTCGTGTTTATGAGTTGCGATTTAAACATTTCCGCGAACTTGTCGTCCAAAGCGCCCGACTGTCGGCCAAAACACGTGTTTAGAGGGAATGCCGTCTGAAAGAGCGGTTTACCTGTTCGACCCAAAGCACGGGCACCAAGAAGTCCTTTCCCTTGCGCGTGGCGTTCAGTTGTCTGCGGAGAGAGAAGAGATAAGAGTAAGACTTCCAGCACTTCCAAAGACACCCACTTTATGGCCTCCGAGTGTCCGATGCGGACATTGAGTTGCATTCGCTTCACGGCATTCAAAGGCGCGCCCGTCGTCTAAAAGAACGAAACGATTGGTCGAGAGATTCAAACGCAGAGCCAATCACAGACCGGTTCGATGTCGAGGAAAGTGCCGTAATTGTCGAACGTGAGGGGAAGCGCCCCCCGAAGCCGCATGTTGTCGTCGCGGAGGCGGCGGTCGGCGTCCATAAAGTACGGCCACGAGAGCGCGACGGGAGCGCCGCCCGTCTGTCGCAAACAGTGCGAGAGCTCGAGAAGGCCGTCTTTGTCGCAGTCGTTGACGTCTTTGCGCAGACAATAGCACGAGTTCTGCGGGAAGTGTTTGGCGGCGCCGAA